TAGCTTTGCCGGCGCCGAAGTTCAGCGTGAGCTCCAGCACGCGCAGCTCATAAAGTCACTGACACGGGGCTACCGGCACGAATTGGTGGAAAACAAGCGTAGTGACCAGGTAATCTTCGACTTTTTGCGCTGGCTGCGTATTGATGAGCCGGATGAGACCCCACTGAACCGCGCTCTCTGCGAAGCTTGGGCCAAGTTCCCGGACAAGCGCGTCACACCAGACACGGCCCTGGTAATAAGCCATTGGCGTCGCATTCAACTGAATGAGTCAATAAATCGGACCACAGCCCCTGTCGGCGCAATACTCTTCGTATATTCCCCTAGCGAGACCACCAAGAATTTGACCAATAAGCCACAGACCATGCGGATCTGGCCGGGCCTCCGACTGGTGGGCGCGGGCGGCAAGATTTGCAAAGGCACGTTTGCAACGGTCAAAACATGCGGCGATGAAGCCGTGGAGCTAGAGGACGGGACGGTGCTCAAAAAGAACGACCTCTTCAAGTACACCCGCTTGCCACACGCCATCACTTACGCAAGCTGTCAAGGCCTCACGCTTGTCGGGCATGTGAGTCTCTGCGACGTCTCCAGCCCGCACTTCACGCTCAGGCACTTGTACGTGGGAAGCTCCAGAGCGACCCGCTCGGACCTCTTGTCTGTGCAGACACGGTAGAATAAAATGCTGCGCTCGTCCGACGAACCTCCATCAGCCCCCATGACCTGGCGCGACTGCGTGATCTGCAACCTGGAGGTGGCCTGCCTCGTTGCCGGACTGGTCGCCTTTATCTGGTTCGCGTGCGACCGGGAGAAAGAGGATGCCAAGGACACAGTGGGACGGGCTCGATTGGCAGGGCCTTCGCGGCTACGGCTAGGGGCTGGGAGGTCGTTTCGATGGACCTGGACCCCAAGTTCCAGCCAGCATCTGCTGCGACGTCATGGAATTGGACGAGGCGGCCCTGGGGCACTTCGACTTCGTGTGGGCCAGCCCGGTCTGCACCGAGTACAGCAGGGCCCTGACAAAGCGCCCCAGGAACCTGGAAACCGGGGATCGGCTGGTGCTGCGCACGCTGGAGATCATCGAGAACCTGCGCCCCAGGTGGTGGGCTTTTGAAAACCCGCAGACGGGCCTGCTCAAGACGCGGCCGATGGTGCAGGGTTTGCCCTACAGCGACGTCTGCTACTGCAAGTGTGGCTTCCGCTACAAGAAGGCCACAAGGATTTGGCACAACCTGCCCTGGCGCCCCGCGAAAACCATGCGTTGCAAGGACGACCGCTGCCAGGCCTTCGTGGACGGCATCCACCCCGAGGCTGCCCAGCGTGGCACCACCAACGGTCGCCGCAACCAGCAGTCCCGGGAGCAACTGTACAGCACGCCCCCGCGGCTCTGCGACGAGATTGCGGCCGCGGTGAGCTAGGAAAGATGTGCTTCGAGTGCTACAAGGCCTTGTGGATAAAGCATGGGCAAGGTCAAGCTATTCCCAAATCCCGAGTACACCTCGAAGCAGCCGAGGGATGGCATAGTGCCACGGGTGCCCTGCACCGGGATCTTCCTCGGACCCAGCAAGAGCGGGAAGACGGTCGCGCTGATCAGCGCGATCCTGGAGCAGTATCGCACGGCGGACGGTTCCAGCGTGTTTGAGCGCATCTACATCTTTTCGCCGAGCATAGAGATCGACGACGGCTGGAGGCCTGTCAGGGAGTTCATAGAGAACGAGATGAACGTGAACACCGAGCGGGAGCAGGTCT